TGGCGCCCATTGATGTTTACATTTGAAACATGAGACTAGTGGATTTGTTGCCAATCTAGAGAAACTTAGTTTCGCAACAACAAAGATAACGCCTTCATTTATTATTGCCAATTAAATCATGCTTAATTCTTTCTGGAATTTTTTCGAGGAAATAAGTGTTTAAGATTTACTTCGTTAATTTTTAATATAGATATTTTGAATTTTTATGTATTTTTGCCTTCTCGCGAAGTGAGAACTGAATTAATTGAATGAGAAATACTCAATCGTCTGTGAAAAACTGTTTCTTTTTTGTTTTGTTTGCTTAACTTCTTTTATACATCATTCTAGCTTTATTATAGTATTTGAATAGAACATGTGGCAACGATTAGATAATTCTATTCTTTAAATGATATAAATTTTGTGCATTATGAGTTATAATATGAACGAAATATATAAGTTAACTGTTATATAATTATTGGATTATATAACAGTTCAATCCAATAAGTTTAAATGAAATGCAAGAAAAAATGCGTATAATTTAATATTCCGTACAAGGAAGTCATGTTGTGTACACATCAGATTTTTTTCAGTAGCGAAAATGTTAAACAAGTTGGTATCCATCGTAGGATGAAAGCGCAGTTCGATTATTTGTGTATGTCCCTTCAGCAAGTCTTCTAATAGTATAGAAAGTTCAGAAGCGGCGACATTTCTATACAGGGCTCTCCTTGATTAGACCAGGCATACAGTGTAATGACGAATGAAAATTTTGCCGCTTTATTTCGTACAAGGAAGTAAAACGAAATGAAAAACCGAAAGAGAAAATAATGTAGGCGGATTTCATTGGTTTTCGTAATTACTAAACACAATTTATAATTTAAAGTTTTTGCTATGCATTTTGCTTTACATAAAAGGTCTGCTTTTATTATTTTTAAATATTATTTATTTGCAGTATTTCAGAAAATTTAATAACATAATTTTTTATGGATTTTTATTTCTTTCCCTAACTTTTACTTAACTTATCTTTAATTTAAAATTTTATTATTATAACGGAATTAAATAAATCGAAACATGGCACTTTATTATTTTTTCAGCTTATCTTTTTCCAAATTGATAATCGCGACAATATTTTTCAGATTTAAAATATCGTATAATAAGTTGCCAAAATGAAACTTTATAATATAACAGCGAAAAATAAAAATGGTTTATTATAATGTTATTTTTTTCAATATAATTTCAATATATTACCATTATTTCAATGAAATTTATCAATGTTACGACGTTTTAAAAAAAAATCGTCGAAAAATTCTCAGATTTCGGAATTAAAAATTTTCTATAGAAACTGATGTTAAAATCGCCAAAATGTTGACAAGTCGCCAAATTTAGAACCGTTTAATAAAAGAATTCACTTCTCCAAAAGCGATCGCCAAAAATATTCCTCCAAAATGGTGATTCACACTCAAAATGGCAGTCGTAAAACAGACAGAAATTTCAGATGATTAAAATTAAGGACCTTCTACTGATTTTGGCCAAAAATTAAGGACTTTTAAGGACCAAAAATCGATTCCAAAAAATTTAAGGACTTTCAAGGACTCTTACGGACCGTACGAACCCTGTCTCTAAAGCGACCACGTCCATCCGGAGAAGCTCAAATTTGTCTGGAATCATGAGGGGTCATCTTGGAGAGTGTTTACTACAGTATGTGAGGTATTTTCTCCCTCCTTTCTGCTTGCCTTCGCGGAGTAACGGTAGCACACTCTGAGCGTATTCGAGAAGTCCAGGTTCGAGTTCCGGCAAGGGCATTGGTAATTTTTCATGTACACATGCTCCAAAATAATCTAATGACTCTACGGTGGAGCCCGAACTAAAAGGTGGTGGATGATGATTCTTCACCACCAGGATTTAGCGATTGGGTTACTTAATCTTCAGTCCCCTTTAAAACGGGAGAGTATATAAGGTATTTTCTCCCTCTTTTCTGCATGCCTTCGTGGTGTAACGGTAGCACACTCAGCGCGTATTCGAGAGGTCCACGTTCGAATCCTGGCAAGGGCGTTACACATTTTCACATTTCCTGCTTTAAAAAAAAATCCTAATGATTCTACAACTATGCTATCAGATTCTAAATAAATAAAATAGCATTTCTCGAGTCAGCTTCTCACAAAACTCTTAGAAATAATATTCTTAATTAAAAATAAAGAATCCAATATTTTGATATGAATCACTGTTTTAAAACATTAATTAAATGGAACAAATACAAGTTATGACATACAAACCCCATTTTTAAGTAAAGAAATCTCAAAACACGTGCAACATGTAGTGACACTCTCATATACAACATCTGTGCACTCTAATTAATGGGAATGAAAAAGCACATTTTTCATGATATTCCTAGCGAATTTCAACCGTATCTTTGTAGATAATATCTATTATCAAAACTGCATTTTAATCAACTTTTCTTAGAAGAATTATATTTTTGGCGAACTTTGACGCTGATATAAAATTTGAAAAATTAACGATTGCTATAGTAAATAAATTGCATATATGTCTATCTCACAGTTTTTTAACTTCGCGGTTTTCTGTGACTCATCGAAGGATTATAATTTGTGAAATTTAACTTAAAACAGCAAGGTAAAACAAGTTGTTACAATCTAAAAACCTCAGTTTAAATACTCGCGACTAATTTGCATTCTGGCGTGGAAACGAAAAGATGAAGTTACAGTAAAGATATAAAACAGTGGCGTAGCGAGGGGGGCAAGGGGGTGTATGATGCCCCGGGCGCCGCTCGCAGAGGGGCGCCAAATGGTTTCCAAACAAGATTTTCATCATATCGCTGTGTTTGTTTCGAGAGGGGGCGCCAGTTAGGCTCGCTACTCCACTGATCCAAAACATAAAATAAATGGTTATATTAACACAATAGAACGTTACATATTAATTAAAGAACTAAAATTTTAATATCCCTTACGAATCTAACCCTAGTAATCATTTGCGCATAGGTAAACGAATAAAAATAATTTTGCTTGGATTGAATTATAGAAAGAAGTCAACTTTTGCTCTGCGGCTCAATGAACCATATGCATCTGAAATAGTCTAAGCAAAATTTAAACAATCGTATGCTGCTGAATTAATCACACTTCGGTTGTTAAAAGATCTTCAAATCTTATTTTTACCTAAAATTTAAATTCCGAAAGCATTATAATAAATAAATAAATAAATAATATAAATAAAAACAATGATGCTACCAAAATAATACCATAGTACTTTTCTTTTAAATTACAAAACATGGCTTTGTAAAAATGTAATTAATTTACAAGTATGAACAGAAAATGAATTCATCAGAGTTTTAAATAAGCAATATAAAAATATTCTTTAAAATAGAGTTTAATTACAGTAGTAAAACAATTTACACAAATCCCCGAACCCCTCCTGGAAAAATTATCACATTCTTCTTTTGATGTACGTTGGCATTTTCTCAATAATACAAATGCAGCGCAAAATTATGATGCCATTAAACTCGAACTCAAATTATTCATTTATACAATCTAACAATTTATCAATACATTTCAATGTTCTATTGTGGTGACCTTTGTTATTTGATCTTAATTATCTTCTTTGCAGGGCTTAATTTCTAAAATTAGAAGTACCGGAGCCCTATGGAAGACAAAGTACAAAAGTAAACAAAAGTAAATAGTCAATTATTATCAAATTAATTAATAGCTATTTAATTAATGTTTATTAATTGTTATTTAATCGATAATTATACATATAATTAATTAATTAAAACTCAATTGAAAATTACTCAATAATTAATTATTACGTATTGAAATAATTAAATAATTAAAATTAAATTAAATGTAAAGAGATAAAATTAAATTTAATAAGCGATTTTTAATATAATTTTATTACTAAAAACAAAATTTTCGAGATAAAATTTCTACTTGATTTCTTGATAAAATTTCTACTTTTTCTATTGAATTTGCGTTCTTTAATTGACATCATTTCAGGTTTTTCTGTGAGATTTACTGCATCAAAAATTGTGAATTTCTTAATCAGAAATCACATGTTTTCATCTCTTTCAAGAATCTACATTCAGAACTTTTCCAAGAATGATAAATAATACACAAAGTAGATAATCACAAGTATTTTTTATCGCAAGTATTTGGACAGTTTTATTAAAGCACTTAAGAAACAGTGAGAATACATTATTAAAACAGCCAAATTAGAATGCTGCTAAAGAAAATGAATTTAAACGCAATACATTTAATTAAAATAACAATTTTTAACTTGTTATTTCTGAATCGTCATAAGAATTCAAAACCACTTTTTCAAAATGAAAAAATTAAAACTAAGAAATGCGATTATAAAACTAAATGAGCACTCCCTACAACTCCACATTTTAATTTAATGCAGATTCTTTCATTTCTAGTATATTTATTCACCGCATGCTGCTAATACGTTATCGTCTGAATTCCGATGCACCGAGCAGAGTATGAAAGAAGAAAAATCGATAATTCAGCTCATAACTGTTGCCAAAAGCCAGAACAAAATGCCTCTCTGAATTCGATCGCCTAATAGAACATTCCACCGCGCATTCAATTGTTTCTACTTTTTCATTACGTCGAATGTTTCTCCTCACGCCTTTCTTGTATATTTTTTTTTTTTTTTTTGAAGCAAATGGAAAAAAAAGGGGGGGGATTATATCAAAACAGTTGGGTCTCATTTAATTCAAACAATTTCAGAACTCAGTTACTGAAACTTCCACAGAACGGGAAGAAAATCAGCATTCGAAATTAGAACGAACTTGTCTACTTCAAAATTGACACTTAGTTCCATTCTCCTCCTTAGCCACTTTGCCTCTAAAAATCTATATCCAATTTAAAGTTTTGAGCTGCAACAGCTTACAAAGCCGTATTGACTAGCCACCATCTGTGAGCCAATAACAAACTTTACATAAAAGATTAAATTAAAAGAAAATATAATTTTAAAAACTGAAATCTAAAAAGTAATATCCATGACAATTTATTTACCTGATAAACGATTCTCTCTGTTCCTCTTCACTTGAACGAAAGTCTACCAAAAAAAAAAAAAAAAAAAAAGTATTATTATATAAATTAACAATACTATATTTTCAAATAACTTTCTCGAAATCAGTATCTACAATTATACAATAAAATTAAACTATCTTAAACGAGAAATAAATTGTCCATTTAACTAACTGATGTAAAACTTGAAAGTTCAAAACGCTTAGGGTAAGATTTGCAGCATGTGAAAGGAATTTTTTCCCACGATAATGACTCGAAAGGTAACCTGAAAATCTTTGCTTGAGAAATCACAATATGAAACAAATGCAAAAGAAAACATAAAAATACAGATCAGATATGAGTGGATTATATCTCCTTACGCTATAGCGTCTCCAGAGTCACGCATTACACTTTTCAGTTCACAGTTTAAGATGTGATTCAAATTAAAAAGTTAGTGAAAGGAGAGTAAAGTCCTTCCTACCAGTACAAACCCAAAATGAGAGAAGAGAGTATATAATTTTTTGCTTCATTACAGCCTCTCCCTCTAGCTCTGATGTTGTCCCGACAAGGAACCAGCAGTAAGATTTTTGAGATGTCCACTTTCATGAAGAAGCTGAAGAAGTGATACATTTGAATAAAAGCAAGGTGCAATCATGTCCAAGAAATAAAATATACCTCATAGAGTACCTGGATTAAGGATGCATGATCCCCTCGAGAACTTATTCAAAGGACCAATTCACGAGTAAGTCGTGATCCTACAAAACAGAGCGGTAGCTCTTTCACTCTTATTGTAAAGCTCTTGTTAGAAGCGTGCCAAGAAATTTCGATTCTCCTTTTAGGAGAGAACATTTCTGTTCAAAAATGGGAATAAGTTTCCTCTTTACAATTTCCTAGCCTTTTGAGCACCTTTCATTCCAAAATTTTACGTTTAGTTGTCATTAGATAGGAAATTTTAGAAAATCTCAAACCTACAACTGAAAGAACTCAATCCAAGGTCTCAGTGGTTCGAGTGTGTTGGTTTTCCACTCCATTCTTGCGCACCGCTCTTGAATGATTCCTCTTTTCCGATAATCTTTCAACTGTTAGTGATTCGTCAATCGTGAAAAAGAAGAGATTCAATTCAATAATCTGATCCTATAAAAGAGCGTCGTTGTCGTATACGGTTTATAATTAACCGCATAGAATAAATAAGTCATCCATCTTAGGTAGTGGATATGAGCCCGACATAGTAACAGCATTTAAGTCCTCGATAATCGAAGTAAAAACGTACTTTTCCGATTGGTTTGAGCACAAGGTTCATGTGCGCAGCATACGGAGCCTAACATTCTTCTATTATTTTCATTTCCAGCAGATCATTAAATTCCTTCTTTGAAATCATCTTTTTGGCTGGAAATATTCGATATAGTGGTATTGAAATAGGAGGATTGATTATTCCCGATATGTATGTGGTGTTCAATGTAGGAAGTTCCTTCTCCCCTCCCCCCTCCAATTTGGAACGCTATCTCATATGTCGTCAGCAAAGCGTTGTTTTTCTCTCTGCGTTTCAATTAAATGCATCCTTTCTCCTTAGAAGACCCACCAGGGACCGAGTAGTAAAGTCACTGAACCTAGGTTCGACTGCAGGCGGCTGCAGCGAATGGGTATGGGCGCTTTCGTGATTTTCCCCACATGTTATGTGGATAAGAGGCAGTTTCCCTTTGAAAGTCTTCCATGAACAAATCCCTCCCTTCAGGCGCTTCTTACCTCGTGCGCTTTGCTGCAATCACATAAACCAAGCCAAACTAAATCAGCCCTTCTTCGACGAGCAAAACAGAAATTGACATCAGCACTTATTAGGATGGTTAAGATAGGAGATGTGGTAAGATCGGGAAAGTTGTTGGAAGCAACTTCCTCCGAGTGCCTGTCTGTTCTTTTGCTCCGAGTATGTTGACTGTCTTGTGTACGGCTGCTCCTCTGAATAGCCATTTTGTCATCTGCAGCTATTTATTCTTTCGAAAAGGAATCTGGATGAATACTCTTGTTTCTCTGAAGCGTAATTTTGAGTCTAATATCATGATGAACACCCGCATTTGACATTTTCCTTCGTATTCGTTAGTGGCAGACGCTGCATATGTGCGCGATGATTTCAAGTAAGCCCTTTGAAATATCGATGTGTTAATGTCCCACACAACAAAAGAACAACTCTGAGCTATTCCAGGAGGAATATGAAAACATTCTATGAAACCTCCACAATCTTCCAATCATATAAAGCGGAATGCCCGCCTGTTTCCACCTGCTACGGATATTCCCAGAGATATCCAAGGAATATTCTTTACATACTTTAGGAATGCTCCAGATATTTAAGTTATAAACATTAAGCAAATCTGTTACCTTGTCAATACCAAAAAGTTTTCTTTCGGCTTCTCTACAAGAAACGAACACAAGTAACTCTCTTTCAAAATTGGTACGTTTTTTGGGAAAATGATTCCCTCCCCCAAACCCAGAGCAGAAAAATATTTCTGTGGAATACTTCAGGCATATTCTTTCCACTATAAGAGAAGATCCACTATTCCATTGGAATAACTATTCTCTCTTCCCATATATTGGACAATGGGAGAAAAATCCTAGGAATATTCTTCGTAAAATATTTTCCAGGGATTTACCGAGAATATTCCAAATGACTTGCAAATGTTACGGGAATGTTGTGAAATGAAAATGCTGTCTGAGGCACAACGGAAGTTATCCCATCCTATTTGAGGTGAAAGCATAAAATTTGCTATTAGATAAAATATTTCATTGCCTTTATTAACATTATAAAATATTATATACTATAAATTTCTTAAATTAAATTTGGGAATAGAAATTTAGTTCCTCACTAATATACTTGCTGACAATGGTAAGAGAAGAGTGACCCACTTTGCAAGCCAAACTTAAGACAGATTTTCTTGTTTGTCAGTCCTACTTAGTTCTGAATCAGTTTTTGTGATTTGGTCGAACTTCCCGTAATCAATTAGTTTTTTACATTTTGCAAGCTAAAGTTAAGATATTTTTATTGAAAAAAATGAGTAAATTTATATACCTCTATGTGTCTGAAATAACAACATATCCACAATTCAGTAAAACCTGACAAAGTATTTTCCTATGGAACATTAAAGATCGAAAATTTAGTTACCTGAGAAAAATATAAAATTTGATTAATAAAATATTAATAGCTCAAAGGACGTTAACCTAGAAGGGCTATTAAGTTCGTTTTGGCATTTTGCGTTGAAAAGTCCGATTCACATTCCAAATTGTTGCCACAAATATTATTGCCCTGTATTATATTGTTACAAAATGTCCAGGCACGGTAAGATAGCTTCCCCGCTAAGCAGGTTTAGGATTGCCGTAAAATGGCAAGGGAAAGCACGGTTGCCACATTTGGCGACAAAATTGGCGATATGCCATGGACGGATGGTGAACCTTTTGGAACGAATTCTTACCGATTTAGCCCAGAATATTCTCGAACACAAGCCAAAAGCTATATAAACCCTGCTGGTACGCGGAGAGTTAGTATCGAGTCAGTCAGTCTGTGTGGAGTTAGAGAGCCTATCGAGTTGAAAGTCGGTCAGCGAGTGCCGAGTGAGTCGTCGAGTGCACCGAAAAGAGTCTCTTAGTATATCGCGGTCGTCGAGAGAGAGTGTTGAGCTCCGGGAACGACAGAACCGAGGAGTCCGGAGCTGTACTTTAGTGTATCGTCGAGTGAAACGCGAGTTGTAGCGTGGAGAGTTTCGAGAGCACGTGGAATTCCGAGAACGACCGAGCAGAGTCGGGAGCTGTACTCTGGTGCTTTGCAGTGAAGCTGTCTCCACCGTTATAGCCTGATAACCTGGAGGCTGTGTCGCTGATTGTGTCAGCGTGTTTATAGTAGTTCTTCGACGACTGTAAACGCGATTTTTGAGCTGTTCTCATTAATACTGGTAAATATGTGTTTCCATACTTCATCAAGTGCTGTTCTCGTTATTCACTCCAAATCCGTACGAACCCGTACTTACGAACGTGAAGTAAAGGAAAAAAAAAAAACGCAACAATATTAAAGAAATTAAATAATGAAGAATCTGCATAAATGTATGTATGTTTCTCGCATTGTGATAAAACAACGGTATAAACATTGCCTCATTGTGACAAAACAACAATTGTGATAAAACAAGTTCTCGAATTTTGAATAACGTACCTCTCCACCCGGATATGGTCTTCTGGAAGCTTAAATTTGGAATTTGTTTTATTATCTATTTCATAATTTGTAAAGCATTTATGAGTTTTTGATTAAGAAACTCAACGATTTCAAAGTGAGCAATGGCAACACTGTAGTCCCCCCCCCCAAAAAAAACTCGTCCTACGCGCGAGACTGTGTATCGGAAATTCTACAGATATGCTCTTTTTAAATTAGTTTGTGATACTGCTATTGAATTGCATTTAATGGTTTAAGTGCAAAGAACATGATATTTAATAAATAAAGGTAACACACAAAACGTTAAAAAAAAAAAACGCCCATTTGCGCGTAACACAAAATCTGAGAGCTTTCGTATTTTTTAAAAATTTTATATCATTATTATCCTTAGATGATGTTCTGTATGGTCCATAAGCTATAGAAATGACCGAAGACCATATTACTTTTGGAGATTTAATATTAATACATCATCATCATCATCATGAAAAATTATGCAAGAATTTTCATTTATTTCTATTCATGATTTCCCTCATAATTTATTCCAATATGTCATGTATTTTACTTTGCCTGTTTATATATTATACTGCTATTGTTTTTACCTGCACATTTTTATGAATTGTCAACTTGTTCTAGATAGAGAAACTCAGATTACTAAATTTTTCTTTAAGCTTATATAAACAAACGTAAATCTACATTAACAAGTTGACCGGCGGTGCGGATATTCATTGTTCTTTTCGTGAGGCGGCACTTGAATGAGCGGTCCGTCCGTTTTGTGAATCGCCCTAGTGAAGTAATAATAACAATAAAGAGAAAATATTTTTTTAATTCGTTAGAAAACTCCGCGAGGAAGACAAGAAAGCGATGCAAAAAAATGCTATAAACGCTTAGCAAGCCTAAAAGGTACTCAGTACGCCACGAATAACGCAAAGAAAATAACAGCATATTGCGATAACTGTAAGAGCAAGCCGGCACTTTGTTTAGCCTGCCTTAAAAAATTGCATAGAAGAAATTAATAATTATATTTAATTTATAAATTACATTTTAAGTTATTTGAATGTTTGATTATAATGTTGAAATGTTAATGTATGCTGTTGAATAATTAAAATAAAATAAAATTTTGTACTACTCATTTTTTGATATACAAGCGTGACCCATCGATGAGTCATGCCGGCCCGCGGAACAATCAAGCATGATCCAACGGTAGCTCATGCCGCCCTATGGAACAGACAAGTACTTCTTACTATAGCAACAAAGTCCTAAATAAGTATTTGATGTTTTTCATGCAATAACTTTATTATTACATACAATTTTTTAATATTTATTTCAGATTATTAATACAATTACATATTATATTAATAATCTGAAATATTATATTAATAATCAATTAATATATATGACCGTGAAAGACCGAAATTGGAGAATGTCGACTTTCACCGGAGAATGTCAACATTCACCAAATACGTCGGTGAAAGATCGAATACTGCATTAAATTCTTGTACATTCGGACCCTCACCGGTGTATGTCGACAATCACAGATATGCTCTGGTGTAGGTCGAAAAAAGAGGAGTATATGTACACGCTGTCATTGCAAAAAAAAAAAGTGTTCCACAAATAAATTCACTTGTAAAAGCAAGGACCTCTTGTGCAACTCAAAGTGTCATAATAGTTTAAGTTGTTGCAATAAATAAGATTTGAATCACATAATTTGGTAAGTTTTTAACTTCAATATTTTCCATTCATTTGTGTACTGTGTGTTTAAGTTCTTATATCTTAGTTCTTATTTTGAGTTCAAGTGCGTTTATTCGCGACTGAATTACGGAGAAGGAAATATATATTCTTATATGTTAAATTCCCATTAGTCATGGGGAAGTCGACTTTGACCGGGTGTAAGTCAGAAATAAGAGATTTGGAAAATATTTCGGATATACACCGAGCGACTATGTGGATGTTGACATTCACCGGGGAAAGTCGACATTCTCCAGATTTCGGTGTTTCACCGTAACATATATATATTAGGAAACTAATTTTTCTGCACAATCTACCTTGGCTGCTAAATTTCTCTCTTTTTTTACCCCTACACATAGATGTAGTAAAAAAGGGACAAAAATCCCCAAAAATTCAAGCATTAGTCTTCGAAATTCTTAAAAATAAGTTTACCTTACTAATACTGCTCTCTTCACGACGAGATTTCTTCAAACTCCTGTAAATGACATATGTAATGAGTACATTTTGGTCACTCTTGAAAAAAATTTATAATTAAGAACATATATTACTAACAAATTTCTACTAGTTTAAAAATAATTTTTTACTAACTTTGGTATTTTGGTGAGTTTTTCCACTTCCTGAATATAATGCGATTGGAGTTCTGGTAAACGAACAGTTATACCACAAACAGGACAACATTCCTCCTTTTCTCTCTTCCTTTTATTATCTGCAGAAGGGGGGAAAAATTCTTAATACCTTATCAAACAACAAATAAACATCATAATTTATTTCAACATGAGTTTTTTTTAGTCCAAAGGGGCTTTGTCCCTGGGGGACTATTGTTTTCGTTTTGTGATTTTGCGTCGAATCACTCTGAATGTCCGTTTCACTTTTCAAACTGTTGCCACCAAATGTTAGTTTAAATTAAATTAGAGTCCTGCATTATATTTGAAGAAATTAAATAATGAAGATTCTGCATAAATGTATGTATGTATGTTTCTCGCATTGTGATAAAACAACGGTACCTACAGCCATCCAATTTTGAATGACGTAATCCTATTGCGAATATGGGCATCTGGAAGCCCAAATTTGGAATTTTTTTTTATGATCGATTTCATATTTTGTAAAACTTTAACGAATTTTTGATTTACAAACTCAAGGATTTCAAAGCGAGCAATGGCGACGTTGCACAGAAAAACATTTTTACCTCCAGCGCGCGAGACTGTTTATCGGAAATTCTAAAAATATGCTCAATTTAAAATTATTTTTCGATATTGCTCTCGAACGAATTTATGGTTTAAGTGCGAAGGACATGATATTTAATACATAAAGGTAACACACAAAATGTTAGAAAAAGACTCTTTGGACGTAATTTAAAATCTGAAACCTATAAGGTATTTCTCCCGCCTTAGCGCGTGCCTTCGTGATGCGGTGGTCTGCACGCAAAGCGCGTATTCCAGATGTCCGTGATTCGATTCCCGGCGAAGGTGTTGCTCATTTTTCATGACTCCTGCTTAAAAAAAATTCCTAATGTCTCTTCAGTGGCGCCCAAACTAAAAGGGTGGTGGATGATGATTCTCCACACCTAGGATTTGGCGATTGGGTTCCCTAAAAAAACTCCAGTCGCCCTTAAAAGGGGAATTTATAGGGTATTTTCCCCGCCTTCTTAGCGTGCCTTCGTGGTTTGGTGGTCTGCATGCTGGGCGCGTATTCCAGAGGTCTGTGGTTCGATTCCCGGCGAAGGCGTTGCTCATTTTTCATGACTCCTGCTTCAAAATTCCTAATGTTTCTACAAACCTTTCAAATTTACTTTTTATCTTTTTAAATAGTGATTTGTATTACGAAAGAATCATACGCTGACATTCTTTTTTTTTCTCTGCCTGATTCCCAGCCGAGAGAATTTCTCAAACCGCTGAAAATTTCACTAAAAGGCACAGTCAACAAGCTCCTCAAAAATTTCTAATTTCACCTTTTATCTCTCCTGTTTCGACACGAACAATTCACGCAAATAATATTTGTGAAGGAAAATTGAATTTAATATTTAAACACAAAAATTAAATCCGCAATGACATTTTCGTACAGTATACAAAAGCACTTCAGCCAATATGACAAATCCTTTCTAAGATGGGTTTAAAATACTGTGATGGGAATAATTAATCCACTTATGATTTCTCTTACTTTGAATTCAGATACAGGACATGTTTGCTTCACGTTCCCCTGATTCTTGAAAAACAGACTCTGTTGTATATGTAGAAGAGGGGGGGAATGAACTTACTACCCTCACAAGTAAACCTTTTCTTCTTTGATACTGGTTTTCCAGGAACCCATATATTTTCTGAACGATTTCTGACAAAACTGGTTGTATATTCAATATGCTCAAAAAGTTAGATTTTTTGGAACCATTCATTAAAAAAAAAAAAAAAAAAAAAAAAGACACCGAAATATTCGGAATATTTTACAAATTCTTTCTTGTCAGAAAAATTAGCTTCGGTTTACAAATGAAATCGAAGAGGGCATAAGAATCCACTTAAAAAATTTCCAAGGCTCCGTCAAACTCAGATGAAGTGACAAGGACAACTGGATCTTACATCCTACAGATTGCAATTCTTTAAAACAGCCTCAAAATTAACATTCTCTGAATAGCGGCAACTTTATTCACTGCTGTCTATTAGTTTTATGATATTAGTAGTAAAAGTATTGTAAGAAATTAGTAATAAAAGTATTGTAAGAAATATTGCGAATATACTAAAGGAATGGCATGAGGTTATAGGTTCTTAAGGAGGAAGTTAGGAATATTTAACAATTACAGTGTATCTTGTATGCGGAGGGACTTATCATCACTATTCCACGGACCCCAACACCATCCCCATTATGCATTATTACCAACATCTACATCTACAGTTAAAAGGTACAGTAACTATAATATATAGACAATTTTATTTTTACCAGTTATTCAAAAATGACGTACATTGGTAATTATAAACATTTAATTAAATTTAAAAAATACATGAGCATATTTAATAGGAACCTTCAAGTTGTTTATCAGCACCGGGAAATTAAAATTCTGATCGGAAAATGTAAGTATTGTTCGCTTATGCGCCAAAATAAACTATTACCCTACCAGCATATCACGGACCCTAAGAGACTACTGAAAATATTCTAAAGTATTCATTTATTTGCTGAAAGTATGTTTAGAACTTAAATAAAATATCACTCAATTAACAAGTCATTCTTCTTTAATAAGTCTAACTAACTACACAAACATACATTTGCTAATTCTATAAATTGTTTTGTTGCCACTTCCAAGAAGCTAAACTAACAATAATTATTAGCGGCCAAACGACGTTAAGTAAAATTAAAGGAAAATAAGTATAAAATACAAACTACATTCATTTGAAATCCAACAAGTATCAAGTACGAATTTCTGTTCTTGTTAATTAAGTGTAGGACGAGAAAGGCCACTCTACTAATACGGTACTTGCGAATGGCAACAGAATAATTTGATTGCCTTGTTTAGTTCAGGATTTCTTCTTTCACGTCAGTCCGAAATAAGATGATGGATATGTTTCCGAATTCTACCTTAAGTGAAGAATCCAATTCAGTTCAATTTAACGCTTTTCGGGCTGATAAGGAAATGCACACTGGAAATACTTTTCATTGAAAGAGAAAGCTATCCAGTGATCACGTTCCACGTTTGGGAAAATATTTTTCGAAAGCTGCCTTTCATCCGTTCAGACGTTGTGTGACCCCAGATTCTAAGTAGAAATAAAATTTTTATTCCAAAAAAATAATGCGGAATCGCCTGCTCCCTTTGTGTAAGGACTCTTGAAATATATTTATTATTGGGTATAGGGCGATGGTTTCCATCCTTATCGACAGACATTGGTCCTGCATATAAAAGCTTAAAACACACTTAAGCTGAATTTAAAACATTCACAGATTTCTAAATTAAAATTATTTCGGATTCAATTTGATTATTTTGATTGGAAATACCAGTTATTATTACAGCTTTTTATTTTTTCTCTTATGTTCAATCAATCCAGCAATGTCCACCATTACATATTCCCCCCCCCCACGTACCCCTAGAGGTATGCGTACCACAGATTGAGAAACGCTGCTTCTTCGGTGAACTATTGTCCAGTTGTTTCGGGCTTCTAAGCCAGGCTCTATCCCAATATAGCAACATAATCTTTTTTTCGAATTTTGTAAAAATATAGTGGAAGTGGAAGAAGTTGGTGACATGATAGGATAGCATTCGAGTAAGCAGTTGTAGTAGGGCAGAGCAGTTAAGTTGGTGAAAGCAGTTGTATTTGAGTCCATAGCAGTTATAGAATGAAAAATTCGAAGGGCGGGGAGTCATCGAAAATGATAAATCATCAGAGTATTTTCCCCTGCTTTAGAAGGAACAAGAAGATATGGTAGTCTGAGCCATTCTGGTGGATTTTTGGTCGTTGGAGGCGCGTTTATACTATTTCATATCTACTGTAAGTGGCATAATTTGTACTACTACTTTTTTATCTAGTTCAAGAGAACCATTAAACAGAAGTATTAACGAAGGACCTAAAAGCATTTGCCAGAAAACCCAAAATCACTAGCATATCTTATAACTATATCGGCGATTTATACACACAGGACAGAGTTTTTTGCTTTGAGACGCTTAGGATGATCATAACAGAAAATAAAATGAAGTGTGTAGTCGTATAGCGTAATTGCCAACTTTGAAATCTGGAAAAAAAAAAGGGGGGGGGATTTTTCGCTTGAAAACCCGGAGACGTTGTACGCAATGCCATTTCAAAGGAGCTCGATAATGCATAACTGAGGTTAAACTATTTATGATATGTTTCTCATTATGAAATACAGAGGGTTTCAAAGAGAATATACGTATTACAAAGTGTTATTTTGTCCAAACTATCGACCACTGCGCCTTGGCTCGGCTATTGGCGAACGAATACATAGTTTATATCAATAGCCGCTAGACGTCAGTTGTCTTCTGTTTTGCGTGGTAACCGTCACATGTTTAAAACGGCTACTCCGTAGCAGAAATCATTTTGTGTTCTCGAGTTTGCGAAGTTCAATTCCGTGATTAGAATGCAAAGACGTTTCAAGTTGAGGTACCAAAGTGATCCCCCGAATGGGTGGAACATTCACAGATGGTACTGACAGTTTGTAAACACAGGATGTGTATATAAAGGAAAGAGTCCTGGCAGCCCTCCTGTTCCCGACGAAAATGTTGCACGAATTCAAACTGCTTTCCAACGTAGTCCTTCAAAATCAACTTGTCGTGCCAGTCTCCACCGAACCGTTGGATTGGTCGTTAAGGAGCTGGTGACTTAGCATGTCTCAGCTGGCGTCCACGGTCACCGGATTTAACAACCTTCTGGCTTCTTCCTGTTGGAGTTCAAGACAACGTTTGTGTACCACCACTCCCACGGAACCTGGAAGAGGTGAAGAACCGGATCCGTACTGTCATAACATCAGTGACGACGGACATGCTTTCCCGAATAAGGGAGAAATTTGAGTATCGATGTGATATTGTTCGTGTCGCTGATGGGGGACATATTGAACATCTGAAATCTGAACTTGAGAGGTTCGTACATATGTGCGTAAAGTTTCATATTCGTATGTCACACAGTTTAATAAATATATGCATTCGAAATGCATATATTCTTTTTGAAACAAGCTGAACATTATTATGTAATAACATATTTTTAAATGCTATACGCTTTC